TCGCCCATCATGATGAATTCATCAGGAATTAACCATGATAGTTTCCAGGGGGAACCGCGAGGAAGTCGACCTGGTTGGATATATTGCTAGCAATAGGATTCTCAGTCTCCATTACTAACAATCCCTTTCCCCCCTAAGCAAGGGTGGTTGTATCACTGAAAGAGGTCCCTTCCAGCCGACTCAATACAGCAACAAAGAATTTTTTTTACTGCGTCTCCAACAAGACTGTAGATTAATATTTGCGGCCAAACAATTTGGCCTTAACGGCAGACATCGATTTTTTACATAATACACTTTCACTGACCATTCGCGGGCCCATTCAGACCTCTGTCCGCCATTTAGTGGTCCAGTTCGAGAAAATAAACAAAAAATAACACACGATTGTAATAACAGAGTAATTCTTAAGTCATTAACCGCGAATCAGATCCAAAATATATTTGATCTCGTAAGTTATGAACTTTCCCGTTTCAAAAGAAATTAATCACTATCTAATATAGAACAAAGTCGCTTCCCGTCTCTCTGTCTCTATGTATGCTTAAATCTTTAAAACTACGCAATAGATTTTAATGCGGTTTTTTCTAGATTTTAGAGGTTTTTTTTATACGACTTAGAATGGCAAACAAGCTGACGGCCCAACTGATGGAAAGTGGTAACCGTCGCCTATAGACATGAGCAGTACCATGGACATAACAGTACACACACATACTGTTTCGCCCATGATACGCCCCATGCGTTGCCATTCCTGAGGGCGCGGGTGTTATTCCTCTGTACCCTGTAAATTCACGTGGAATTGACGAGTGATTCAAGAAGAAGGTTTATATGTATAATACATGCATAATAATTAAATAATTTAAGTGGTTTCTAATTTGATGTGATGTACATTAGCGCGAAGCCAGGGCGGGTTACTATTGAAAATATGTGAACAAATATTAACCGGTCCATAACACAGTATACTTTTTTTTTTATTTAATGGATGAAAATGGTTTGGTAACCCCGCCCGCGCTATCCTTATACACCGACGAGGCACCAGTGGAAGATGATAGGTGAGAATAAATGCAGGTTAGTTGGCCCACCATGATGAATTCGACAAGAATTAAACATGATGGTTTTCAGGGGGAACCGCGTGGAGGTCAACCTAAGAGGGTATATTGCCAGTAATGGGGCTATTAGACCTCATTACTAACAATCCCTTTCCCCCCAACACAGTGTACTGATGTTCAATAATAATCATCGTGCTCAATCATGAATAGCCATGAATTGTCCACTGCTGAACTTAGGTTTCCCTCGTAAAGGGGTGTTTTGCCAATAGTTGCCACGCGGGGTAGGCAAGTGGGCAACCGTAGTTTTTTTTAATGGATGATAATGGCATGGTAACCCCGCCTGCGTATCAGTATACACTGGCCTATTCGGCACCAGTGAGGGTGTTTGCAGGCTGTGTTTAGGTTTGAAGCAGGCAGTTAGCCCATCGTGACAATTCAATTTACAGAATTAACAACGATGGTATCCAGGGGGAATCAGGGGCGTGGAGGTTGACCTAATACGTTGTATTGCTAGCAATGAGTTAAACCCCATTACTAGGATATGGCAACGAAATTACATAGTACAGACGTATAGCACCTTAGTCCTCATTACCAGAGGGAGACTTTGTACAAAAGTCGTTTACTTAGGCATCTCTGCTACATTCGTGTTTCTACCGTGAAACAGTTGTGTTTGCATGGCTGTGTTTCGGTTTGAATAGTGAGATATGGAATTGAATTTACAGGGTACAGAGGAATAACACCTAGATCATGGGCGAAACAGTATACTCTGTTATGTCCATGGTACTGCTCATGTGTATAGGCGACGGTTACCACTTTCCATCAAGTGGGCCGTCAGCTTGTTTGCCATTTTAAGTTAAAAAAAAGTATTTAATATTATTGATTACTTTTGTTGATTTGAAAAAAAAAATGATTCAAACATTACATAAGCGAGCGACGTGTATTTATTGTAAAATATTTTGCGGTCAAAATACTTTTTCGTAGAAATAAACTTGACAATTTGTGGTTTGAACGGATATAACAACATATAAAACTAGTTATACACGAGGCTTGGAATTGTGGCTGTAAAAATTGTGATAAACCTATCTATATTCACGCCAATTCTCTTACTGGGCAGGCAGAGAGAACCAAGTGTTACAGATCTATTATTACAAGTATATCTCTCGTTTTCTATACTTTTATAACACGTTTCCCCGGGGCGAAAGGGATTGTTAGTAATGGAGTTTGACAGCCCCATTGCTAACAATATGCCCTATTAGGTCGACCTCTACGCGGTTCCCCCTGGAAACCATCGTGAACAATTCTTGTTGAATTCGTCACCATGGGCTAACTGACCTGCTTCATCCTCACCTATCATCCTTCACTGGTGCCCCGCCGGTGAATACCAATAGCGCGGGTGGGGTTACCATTCCATTATCACCCATAAAAAAAACACGTTTCCCCACGTACGCAGTTTTCGGGAACCCTTGCCTTTCCCCTCAGACAAAACAGACACTCAGCCACGAGTAATAAAACTACAATCATATGAATATAATGCTTGCAAACATTCTGTGCAGTTATGTTAACAATTTAATGGAATAATTGTTAATAATTTACACACATTTATACATATCTGTGACGCCTGTCTCCCATTAGAGTAGTCAGTAACAATGGATCGCCAAAAGCTTCGATATAACAAGTTAATTATAGTAAAATAAATTTCCTGAATTGGATTAGGTCTGGATGTTCTGGGTCTTTAAATATTCATTACATTATTATTTATTATATTCATTGCTGGCAATAAAAAAATTACAGTTTTAGGTAGATAGATAGATAGATAATTTATTTACATTACTTACAGCACACAAATTACAATAAAAAAAAACATACACATAATACACAGTTAAATAGATAAAAGAATGAAAATAAAAAAGAACAAATAAAATAAAAAAAAAAAACAAACAAAATATATAAATTAACAATCTCCTTTCTTTCCCTTCCTTCATGCGTGTGCCGTAGTAACACAAAATGGTCACAACTCAGTTTATTGCTTTGCCCTCAAAAGAGCAAAACACTGATATTCTGTTGTGTGTGTTTAAAGGATTTTTTTTTCACAAATAAAATACTTAAATTTAGTATAAGATTTATACGGGATATTAAATAAAAGATAAAAGATATATATATATAAAGATGACAACGAAATGGTAACACCTCCTGTGCTTATGGTGCACCGGTGAGTGATGATAGGTGAGGTTGAAGGCAGGCCAGTTAGCCCTTTGTGATGAATTTACCGGGAATTAACCGCGACGGTTTCTAGAAAGGGACGCGTGGAGATCGACCTGATGAAGTATACTGTTAGCAAAGGGGTTTGTAGAGTACAGTCCACTTATATTATTTATAGTTTTATATTATTGTTTACCAAATTCGAAATTGATACATATCTCTATTGTTTCCCTTTGGCTTTCCTTCACGGCCCTAGTCTTCTAAGTTCCTTTGACCAATATACATTACCAGAGGGAGACTTTGTACAAAAGTCGTTTGCTTGGGTACCTCTGTCACATTCGTGTTTCTACCGTGAAGCAGTTGTTGATGATAGGCCTGAATTTACAGGGTACAGTATTCCTCTGTATTCACATCATAGCCCACGCTTTAAACTGAAACACAGCCATGCAAGCACAACTGCTTTACGGTAGAAAAACGAATGGGACAGAGGTACCCAAGCAAACGACTTTTGTACAAAGTCTCCCTCTGGTAAATAATAATAATAAATAATGCACTACTGAAGGTAACTAAATAAATAAATAGGATTTTTCCAAATCGTTATAGAAATAATGGAGTTTCGAAGTAACAAACATTAAAATTTACAACCGAATTGAGAATTATTTATCTTTTATATGTAGTTGGTTGGTGTACCTGGTTGTATGTACACGTACGTTGACTTAAAATCGAATCTACATTAACAAATTGAAATTAAAGTAACAACGTACTGTTACTCTTGTAATGTGATTGATACATTACAAATTTAATAAATTATTTCTTTCTTTCTTTCTATACACGCCAATGTAGGTAGATAAATAAATAATGGTAGGCAATGTACGTAAAAAAATTCTTTATCAAATCAGTTTGGCATTAATACTTTAAGCTATAGGTAAAACCGTAAAACAGTTTAGCAAGCCAAGTTGCTTAGCGACAGAAACACGAGTGGTACACATGGCTTTGAATTTAATCATATTTCTAATTGAAAGGTTTTTCTCCCATGTCGACCATACATCCATAACTTCAATACAATCTTTTATATTGCTACGGCTACGATGTGCCATCTAGTGGGAGATAGCTCATATTATATATAGGGTAATAAAATTAAAATACCGTCATTTGCCAATAAAAAATAAATCAAGACGCTTTATAAACTACAAAAACCTTCATATTATGTTTAATGATATAAATCTATTTTTTTTTTTAAATAGAACTATTCTAAGAATACTTTGTAAACATGTTTATTAAGAACTACATTATATTACATATTATAGGAAACTATTTGCTATTTGCAGTTTTAGAACTGTATGTGTAGAATAATATTTTTAATCTAAAATTATAATAGTAATAGCTCTAATTTTTTAATCTTTGTTCAGAGTCCTCTAACACGGAATAGCAAAATAAGTAGCGTTGTAATCAAAGGCAATACTTATAGATGGCGAGACTAGTTACAATTGAAACGCAAATGAAAATGTACACTATTGGTAATAATCTAATAACTATGGTTTCTTTAGTTATAAATTAAAAACAATTTGAAAAAAAAAAGGTAAACTCTTTTAAATGCGTAGCAGTCAATAATTGCTAACTGCGATAGTAATTGCGAGTGTCTCCTATAGATGGCGTGATATGTATATCATTCAAAAATTATATTTTTTTTATAAACGTTTAAAGATATTTGGAACTTTGTTGATATCTATTTATTGCTAGTTACAATTAAAATATTTTTTTATTTTTTCTATAGTTATATTATTTGATTTAAATTTCCTAATTTTTATAGACTATCATAGACGTAGAACACAGTTATTTAATACTGGTCACACACATCACGAAAGTCTTTAGTTTATGGTGCACCCGCCGCTTGTGACAGTTCGAGATTGTGAGTGAAAAATTGGAAATTATGAAGTAAAATAATATTCTAATTTATTGTTTAAATGACAGCAGGAAAAGAAACTATGGGGTAAGAATATTTTATGATTTTGTATTGTTTTTGTTGTTATATATATAATTTCTTTCCATTGATGAGAATTATGCAAATTCGCAAATTAAAATTGCCGTGTTATTTTTAGGGAGGGGATTTATTTTACCAATGCGAAGGGGTATTTTAAGTTTACGTGGTGTAAAGCTCACTAATTATATTGTTACTATAAGTATAATTGCCGGTAAATAATGTAATGTTTTTAAAAGGCGAACTAGTTGTCTAATTGAAGGCAAAGGGTCGTTCGTATTGCATTAACGCCTAAACGCGCGATTGCACATCGATTGCATACGATTGAGTGCTTTTACCTCGCCGATAAGGTCGTTGGGGAGCAACCTGCTATTTTTAATGTCAATACTTTTAAACTTGAATGATCCTTGTCTTTATGGGAGCCTGGTACCGCGGGAGTCTAGTGTCTCAAATTGACACTCGTTAAACCTAAAAACAAAGTGCTAATAAATACAGTTATTAATATTTTACTAGAGTATATTTTTGTTTATAAAATTATCATTATAATGTATGATGAGGATAATAATTTTTAGAAAAATTTATAGACACATGTATGGTGTAAAAGGCTTTCAAATGTAAAAGTCTTTTATTGATAAATAATTAATATTATTTGAAAAGTATTATAATTATATTTTTTATTAATACCATAAGTTAATGTTTAATATTCCAACATTATCACATTATCGTATCGTATCCATATTACAATATAATTATCTATTATTTTTTTACTATATCTCTTAGCATAGAGTGCACTGCAGCAAAGGTCTCCTCCGATTCCATCTGATAATTAGCAGTGTGGATCTACTGTTTGCCTTGACTCGTACTGCCAGTCTCTGTGGACAGCCCCTTTTGTTTTTAGTATCCAATGAGTACTAAACTGTGATCCATATGTGTCCATCACCGTTTTTTATGGACTGGTATTTTTAAGATTCCTATATTAAATAAATAAATAAATTTCTAATATTATTTATCCATTTTGCCATTAAATCATATAAAATAGATAACTTTGTTAAAACATTATAATCAAAATTAGTTCACAATTATCGAAGGTATGTAACATATACAGTCCAAATAAGAATCTGGTTTCTTTTTTGCTTGATTAAAAATGATATTGGTGAGATTTTGTAGCAAAAATACTAGCAACCCGTCCCAGGTACAGACAGGTAGATAGAAAATAATATATATGCCTATGTTACTTGCTGATAGTGTAGCTTTTTAAATTATTTAATGTCTATTTGTTTGTCACCTATATTTCATTTGCAAATTCAGATGCAGGTGGTTCTGAACCATTCCTTATGGCAGTCTGTGGGGGAGGCCTATGTTTAGCAGTGGACGGATAATGGCTTAGATGACGATGGTGATATTTCATTACTTATAGAGGAATTTTATCAAGGAATGTCACAACTGTCTCCTATCAGTTGTCATGTTATTGATTTGTACATGGAACATTATCTTCTAATGTAACTCTTAAGAGATATGTTTTTATTGACAAGTATTATCAGTATTCTTGTTTGATATTTGAACATGAGTGTTGTGCTGTTGTGAAATTATTACCACGGTTTAAAGCTTAGATTATGGAATATATAGATTGGTAAAAGAGAGAAAATATAATAATTTGTTTTTCACATACCAATTCAATAACTGAAAGTATTGTGTTAATAAGGCAAACTTTAATTTTTTTGTCTTTTTCACCCCATATAGGGATGTGCTTATGGACTAGGTATACCCAAATTCCTATAGCAACCTTCTAATTCAATATAATAATGCATTCAGGGTGCTATTGGGGTTCCCACGATATTGTAGTGCATCAGGGATGTTTGCAGAAGCCCACATAGAATGCTTTTATGTCACCAACGGCATCCTAATATGATTGCAAGCAGGTTGGACTGTCCTTACATTGATCACTGTTGTGCTATCTCAAATGGGATGCTTCAGCGGTGACCAAATTTGTCTATTATTTTTTCGTTATTTTCTTTTATTTATTTTTTTTATTATAAGATGTACTAACATTAGGTTAAGATTATGTTACTAACAAATTAGGTCATTCTAAGCCCGTAATAAAAAGGCTTATTATTATATTTCTTAGGTGGTACTGCTCATGTCTATAGGCGATGGTTACCACTTTCCATCAAGTCGGCTGTCAGCTTGTTTGCCATTCAAAGTTGTATGAAAAAAAAAGGTTTAAAATGGTCAATTTCACTGATATATTCTTATATATGTAATAATATTTTTGTATTTCCTTTTGTAATTGTGTTTTTCTTTAAGTTATTCTATTTTATCTATGATCGCGTACTGGATTCTAAGTGCAATAATTGTTGACAGTGAGCAGCCGATCTTCACGTGCAAGGCGCACGTGTTTCATATAGACCCGAAGACCAAGAGATCGTGGATGTCGGCCAGCTCCGCCGCCGTCTCGGTCTCCTTCTTCTACGACTCCTCCAGGAACCTATACAGGATCATCAGCGTTGAGGGCACCAAGGTAATGGGATCGTAATGGAATGATAATCACGCCAGCGCTATCGGGGTGCACTGTTGGGGTACCAGTGAGAGATGATAGGTGAGGATGAAGTCAGCTCATTTGGTCTATCGTGAGGAATTCGTCAAGTATTTTTTTTTTTGATGGGTGTAAATGGTATCGTAACCCCGCCTGCGCTAACGGGATACGCTGGCGAAGTACCAGTGAAGGGTGATAGATGAGAATGAAAACAGGCCAGTTCGCCCATCATGATGAATTCATCAGGAATTAACCATGATAGTTTCCAGGGTGAACCGCGAGCAGGTCGACCTGGTTGGGTATATTGCTAGTAATGGGATGCTCAATCTCCATTACTAACAATCCCTTTCCCCCCATTCATACTTATATTCATACATTAATACTTGACGTATTAACTATGATGGTTTCTATTTAAGTGTTGGCTCGACGGGGTATATTAATTGCTAGCAATGGTGTCTCTGTTATTATTTTTATATCAGATATTAACAGTCTACTGCTGAACATGGCTTCTCCTTGGGATGTTTTGCCAGTAGTTGCCACGCTTGGCAGACGGGTTAGCAACCGCAGTTAAGCTTTGGTGATGTTTTAAGAGAGACGCTGCTCTCCTTTTCTTGGCCATTAAGTTCCCTTAGTCGCCTCGTACGACACGAACGGGAATGGAAGAGGTGGTTTATTCTGTGCCGGGACCACACGGCAATACAACTATATTGTTACGATATTATTGATTCTAAATAATTAGTTCATAACTTTTTCTATTTCCAATAGCAAAAGATACAAATTTCAAATTGCCCATACTCTTACGGCCCGTCAAGTCAGTGTGGAAGGCTTAAAACTGATCGATTTTTTGGAAATAATAGACGGTTTCACTTGTAGAAATAAGACGCTAATGATTTCAAATTCAGCATATATTTAAGACTAATTGATGCCCGCAATTTTGTCTGCGTAGAACTGAGTTTTACGATTATATCCCTTGAGAAATGATTGATTAGTATCCCTACAAACTTTTATCCTTTTTTCACCCATTCAAGTTTTATTTTCGCGACAGAAAGTAGCCACGTCCATTTTCAAGATTCCCTTTTTCTCTGCTAAAATTCATGAAAAATCTCTTCAGTGGTTTAGGAGTGGTGAAATCATCATCATCATATTAGCTTTTAACTGTCCACTGCTAAACATAAGTCTCCCTCTTGGGAGGTTTTGCCAGTAGTTGCCACGCTTGACAGGCAGGCTGCTCTTGAAACATTGGCAACTACAGTTAGGCTTTACAGATATTTTAAGAGGGACGCTGCTACCCATCTCTGGCCCTCCCTTAGTCGCTTCTTACGACACCCACGGGAAAGGAATCCCTTCCTTTCCCGTGGCCTATTCTATGCTTGGGATCACACGGCCATAAACGGCGAAAAGATAACATACAGACAGTTATTTTCAATATTATAATATTAATATGGATCATCTTCGGTATCATAATGAAAACGTCTCTGAGAATTTCAACAATACAGCATCTGCGTCGGACACAGATTAGGCTGAGATTTATCTGGCGGAGACAAAGACTATTAGGTATTATAATAACGTCGTTAATGTATTGTCTTGTTAATTATCTTAATGCTTTTGTAATAATTACAGTCATTTAGTTTACCAGGCCCTCTAGACAAGTGGCAAGCGACGTAATCGACATCGCTAGCGAGTCCATGAGTTGAAATGAGACACCCGACGTTGCTATCTCATTCTATCTTACAATCTCGCAAGCGATGTCGATTCCATTGATGAATTCGCTTGTTATACGTCTTGGGGACCAGGCCCTCTAGACAGGTGACAAGCGAATTCGTTGATGGAGTCGACATCGCTAGCGAGTCTGTACGTTAGAATAAGACATCTGGCGTTGCTATCTCATTTTATCATATAGACTCGCTAGCGATGTCGATTCCATTGATGACTTCGCTTGCTCCTCGTCTACGGGGCTAGTACTACGTACGAGAAACTATTTCGATTACACTCTGTATGGAAGGCTTTGCACAAAAGGACGGACGGACTACCAATACCTTCTGACATTATAAAATGCCAGTTGTATCCACTGGCTTTACCCGTGTAAATCAGTAGGTACATAAAGTATCTTACTAAGTATGGATACAACTTACTCGTGGAGGGGATTGTTAGTAATAGGGTCTAACTGTCCCATTACTAGCTATATACCAGTTGGATCTCCACCCGGTTCTCCGATAATTGTTGATCGCTACGATGGGCCAACTGACCTTCTTTCATTTCATCTATGTTCCTCTATCTCTGATGCCCCGCCAGTACGAGTATATACTGATAGCGCAGGCGGGGTCACTATTTTTCATTTTCACCCACTGAAACCCGTGTACCTAATTTCATTCGAATCCGTTCAGTCTTGTGTCAATAAGTAACAAATGATCCTTCCTTTCCTGTGGGTGTCGTGTGTGACTAAGGGAGGATGAGGGATGGGTAGCAGCGTCCCTCTTAAAACATCTTTGAAGCCTAACTGCGGTTGACAATCCTTGTTGCCAAGCGTGGCAACTACTGGCAAAAACCCTGGAGGAGGCTATGTTCACCAGTGGATAGTTAGAAGCTGGTATGATAATGATGAAGTAACAAATATCCATATATTTTCTTTATAAATTTTCACATTTGTAATATTAATAGAATTTGTAGGTATTTCTTTTAACCTACGCTACCTCTAGTTCCCAATACATAATCGATAATTTTGTATTTACAATCGCATGATGTTGAAACATTCATCTGTAAGTCAGATATTTGACTCTTATTCCGTTGTGATAAGGGATGAAATTGCTCAAATATACAAGAGCACGAGTTACACAGTGATTTTCAAATGAACACACATAGGTACATGGCTATTTACTCGTCTGTGACGTGTTACGCATTAGTAATTAACTATTGTCTGTGTTAATAGCAACACCACTAAACTAGGTACATGGCAACCCGTGTGGCGACACAGTATATACTGTGAGTCATGTTCATGTCTATTTATAGGTGTCAGTTAACATTTTACATTTTATATTCTGCCGTGTGTGCCTCGGTATACAATGAATTTCATCCTCACCTATAATCTTTCACTGGTGAAGAGGTGAGGATGAAGGCGGAATCTGTTTACAACTGACTGAGTCATGTGGTTACAAATATAAAAAAATACAACCAAATTGAACTTCTTTTTTTTGACGTTGGTTGAAAACAAGTGCACTCGTTTTATTTCGTCCATTAAATTTTTTTTGTGCAACTTAGAATGGCAAACAAGCTGACGGCCCACCTGATGGAGAGTGGTAATCGTGGCCTACAGACATGAACAGCAGTACCATGGACGTAACAGAGTATACTGTTTCACCCATGATACCCTAATGCGTTGCCATTCCTGAGATCTTAGGTGTTATTTATTTATTTATAAAAGATACACCAACAATATGTTTATAATAATTTAACAGACTATGTACAATGTTATAAGTAAGTAAGTAATGAAAAATTACTATTATTTCTACTATCATTCCTCTGTACCATGTAAATTCACTGCTATATACCACCCTTCAAACCGAAACACAGCCATGCAAACAACTGCTTCACGGTAGAAACACGAATAGGACAGAGGTACTCAAGCAAACGACTTTTGTACAAAGTCTCCCTCTGGTTTCACAGCTGAAAATAGTATTCCCTTATAACATGTTCCTGCAGCCCATTTCTCGTAGTAACATTACACGCAAACGCTCACGGTGAAGGCAGACCCTTACTCATACATTATTAATTTAAGTTGGACACTTATGTCTATAGTTTGCGTATGGGCGCGAGATTACAATGCCTTTCAACTTATATTGTTGATAAACTAACAGACAACCCCTGTTCTCATATAAGATAGTATTTGATCGATACAGAATCAGGGATAGTTGACTTGACTAGACCTAAGATCTACTGTTTATTGACGAAACTGCACGATCTACCAATTACATACTTTTTAGTACACTGTTCAGTACACAATTATGTAGTATTTTTTATTTTTTTTAAGAAGTTAAACATAAAACTGTAAATTATTCTTAGTAACTACTTATTCATATTAGTGTGAGCATTGCGTCCGAGCATCTTTTGCTAGATGAGAAAAATATTATATACCTAGTCCAGCCATAAATTCTGTTTGCATGTTCTGTATTTTTTTATGAAGTACATTGTCGGTCAAAAGTTTAAGACCACAATAAAAATATAAGAAAACAAAAGTCAATATATTTAAAACTTTATGAAAAACAGGTTTTATTTTAATGTTACAATTGAAACAAACAAGATTTGAAATTCAAAAATTACATGAAGTCTTGACGAATACAGTGTTCTAAAGAAAACACACACAAGAGAGTTTAGAGAGATTTTTCATCAAAATATCCTCCTTTGAAATTTTTTGACCCGTTTTACTAATCTTGGCATGCGAGCAATTAGTTTGTTTATAATCTCTTGCGAGATATTCCTCTAGCTTTCTACTAATGCATTCCACATGGTCTGCTAGGAAGTAAGACATTGTTCCCGCACGTTTCGATCAAGCTCTTCCTACAAAAGCTCCATAGGGTTAATATCGCGGTTTTGGGATCGCTATGTCATGTTTTTTAACACTAATTCTGACTGTTTTTTGTCTAAATAGCCCCTACATAATTTTAAAACGTACTTTGGATAATTATCTTATTGGAAAATAAATCCTTGGCCGATTAACTTTAGTCCGGAGGGAATAGCATTTTTCTCCAAAATTACTATATATTTCTCCTTTTTCATAATTTCTTTAATTTGGACCAGATCCAGTCCCATAGCCTAAGAAACAACCCCAGATCATAACAGATCCGCTACCATGTTTGACAATCGGGACTGCACATTGTGGCATTATCTTTTCTTCGGCGGAACGTCAAACGAAAATTCTTTTTGAACCGAATATTTCAAATTTAGATTCGTCAGTTCTTAGCATTTTTTTTTAATCTTTTTCAGTCCAGTGTCGATGGGATAGAGCCCATAAAAAAAGACGACTTTCTAGATAGTCTCCTTCGGTAAAATTAGCACAGCGGTTTACAATCGCACCTTGTCCGTTTATTGATTTATTATCTCTTTTGGAAACCATTATGGCATCATAACAAAATGGAGAGAAAAATGAAATTCCTGTAAATATGTAAAGCCAACAATAACAGTATTACAAATGTATACATGTCTCCTATAAGATGCTCATTGGCATTCAACCCGAGATAGCGGAGTAGGGCTGCCACCTCTTGTTAGTTTTGAAATATTAATTTAGTAAGACGTGTAAAACCACGTATATAGAATTCGATATTTAAGTTTTAAACGACTTTAAAATGTTTTGTGGCTACATTAGACGGTTTTATTGCTAATTCTGTACCAAATTTTAGATTTTTATTTTGTAATGGATAGAGTTTTCTCCCATGTTTTTGTCATATAGTTTTGTGACGAATGAAGCAAGCAGCCAATATTAGATATTTGATCTACCCGCAGTTCCCTCGGGGACAGGCAGACGGAAACCGTAATAAAGGTTTTCTCATTAGCAGTAACACAAAATCTAGCAGCTGCCGGAGTGAACGTAATAGATAGATGTCGCTGTGGGCATTTATGATTTGTAGAAATAATCTTACTTAGAATTGTTATATTTTCTTATAAATGTATGAATATATCCTGAGCATGAAGTTTTGAAAACCGGTCGCGTGTATAAATAATAAGAACATTTTTAGTTGAAAACTGTGAAACAAAGTACATACATACAAAAGTGACTATTTCTTGTAATTGTTAGTATATTTTTTTTATACAACTTAGAATGGCAAACAAGCTGACGGTCCACCTGATGGAAAGTGGTAACCGTCGCCTATAGACATGAGCAGTACCATGGACATAACAGAGTATACTGTTGCGCCCATGATACTCCCCATGCGTTGCCATTCCTAAGAACTCAGATGTTATTTCTCTGTACCCAGTAAATTCACGCCATATCCCACCCTTCAAACCGAAACACAGCCATACAAACACAACTACTTTACTGTTGAAACACGAATGGGATAGAGGTACCCAAGCAATCGACTTTGTACAAAGTCTTTTTGGTATCTTAGTATCTTTCTATAATAAGTTTACTATTGTAATCTTTTGGAGGAAACAATAATAAGTAATAATAATCTATCTATACAAATATTTTAAGTAATATAAAATTTCTATAATGAAGTTCCATAAAGAGATCACAGTGAATTGTATTATAGAGTTAATTTAGAATTGCCATACGTACAAATTGTAAATATTAAATTGTTTCCCTAAAGGTGGCAACCCTATATTTTAATATAACGTTCTGCAAGTACATTGGCTTCTTAGTGTCATTGCCTGGCTCGTTATACCGTCTGTTGGTAAACGCACTCTGACCTTGTTGGCAGTTTCACGATCAACTGTTTAAACCAACTTCTGATATAGCATCATTATTTGGCATAGTTTCGGCCACATCTTCCTTTCTCGTGGGTGTCGTAGAAGCGACTAAAGGAACTTAATGGTTGAGGGTTTTTTTTTGATGGGTGAAAATGGTATGGTGACCCCGCCTGCGCTAACGGGATACGCTGGCGGAGCACCAGTGAAGGGTGATAGATGAGAATGAAAACAGGCCAGTTAGCCCATCATGATGAATTCATCAGGAATTAACCATGATCGTTTCCAGGGGGAACCGCGAGGAGGTCGACCTGGTTGAGTATATTGCTAGCAATGGGATTTTCAGTCTCCATCACTAATAACCCCTTTCCCCCCAATGGTTGAGGGTTAGGTAGCAGCGTCCTTCTTTAAACGTCAAATACTATGGTTTTTTTTAATGGGCGATAATAAAATGGTAACCCCGCCTGCGCTACCGGATTATACTGGCGGGGTACCAGTGAGAGATGACATGTGAGAATGAAGCAGGTCAGTTAGCCCATCGTGATGAATTCAACAAGAATTGTTCACGATGGTTTTCAGGGGGAAGCACGTGGAGGTCGACCTAATAGGGCATATTTCTAGCAATGGGGCTGTCAAACTCCATTGCTAACAATCCTTTTGCCCCCAATTGAGGTATAGGAAGCAGCGTCCCTATTTAAACATCACCAAATGCCTGCCAAGCGTGGCAACTACTGGCAAAACCCACAAACAGGGAAGGGCTTATGTTCAGCAGAGGATAAACGTCTAATGTGATATGATAACACAATGATCATCTTCTAGATGTTTCATCATGTTTTACATACCTTATATTTGACATGTTTTTTTTAGATATGCCTGTATTGTTAATTTTGAATTTTTGAACGCTGAATCGCGTATTTACATGTGGATTGTACTTCACAACAGTCAGTTTTTTTTGTTACATAAAACCAATTATAGTTCTGAGATTATCATCATATCAGCCTTTAACTGTCCACTGCTGAACATAAGCCTCCCCCTTGGGGGGTTTTGCCAGTAGTTGCTACGCTTGACAGGCAGATTGGCAACCACAGTTTAGGCTTTAGAGATTTTTTAAAAGGGGCGCTGTTGCTCATCCCTAGCTTTCCCTTAGTCGATTCTTACGACACCCACGGGAGAGGAAGGGGTGGTCTATTCTATGCCGGGACCACACGGCCATAGATCTGAAATACATGAATAAAAATACCTTCTTTTTTGAACTTGGTTAAAAAAATAGACGAATTGAGAACATATTTTTTTGGAAATTATTTAAAAATCGTCATGTCGTTTCGGCTGCATAAAAAGTCCAGACGTATATAAGCGTATATACATATATATATGTACCTACACTAGAAAAACAAAACCCTCCTTTATTCGTAATCGGATAAAAATGATTTCCACTTATCCTCAAGTGTACTCATACTCGCCTAATCTAAACGAGATAAACAGGATATTTCGCTAATAGACTCTTATGGGGGAAATATGTAGGTCGGTGTCGATGTATATGGGACAGTATGACCTACATGGGAAACTATTTTTAAACATCTCCCATATCCCGTTTAGTTGGATAAGATTACGTATTTATTTATTTATTGATTTTCAGGTGTTAACGTAGGTATAATAAATAAACAAATTCACACTCCAAATGTACCTTTGAAAGGGACCGTGAAACCGGTCAGGTATTGTGACGACTAGCTTCTCTCCGTGACTTTGTTCGCGTGATAGAGATATATTCATTGATTGGCATAAAAACTCTGCGTGTTCTACCGCTTGTACAACGGATTGTGCTCAGAGGAATTATTCAATATGATGCCTGTGGCCACTTTCTATCATCGTACGGCTCGCCATCGACAGGGAGTTCACCCTCATACCTTACAGCCTGGTAATGGTCGCGTACAACGCGGTTTCAGAGATGTTTTTTCACACGAACACTCAGGTTATGGAATGAGCTCCCTGCCGAGGTTTTCCCAAGATACTACAGCATGGGGTTCTTCAAAAGGGGGGTAAAGAGATTTCTTCAGGGTCGGCAACGCGCGCTTAATTATTTGCCATTTACTGAAATGGCAAATAATTACGCGGTATAAAAAAAAACAACACAACGAACAAACGCACTATCACAATTATAATAGGATATCAGCTACAGTGACGCTTAATATATTTTGCCTTTCCAATGTCGATATTTACTTTATATATAAGGCGGATTTAACACCACATCCTCGTCCCTTGAAATCCACCATGAAAGTTGGTCGGAAATTTCGGAGCTCAACGTATTTGGATCGTTGGCTGTTTTTATAGCCGGGCTTATGACCAACGAAACGGTAAGCTTTGTTTACGGGGCCAATTTCACTACTATGAACATATTACATGGCATGTACGAAACTTGGGTCCGGAACTTGGGAATTTCGTTTCATCGTGGGCCCCCTAATATCTTCCTCGACAATGAGACCTTTGGAGACTGTAAAAAAGTTACCTGATTCGGTACCTCAGTCCCACTTGTTTTTTTTGTCGTGATACAGCTGTCTTTTCATGGTTGTATTTCGGTAATGAGATATAGTAATGAAATTATAGGGTACTTAGATATAACAGCATAGTCTGGGAATGGGGGTTTGTTAGTAATGAACAGGTTAGTTTCCATTGATTGCAACATACCCTGTCATATCGACTTCCACGCGGTCCCGCCTAGAAATCATCGTGGTTAATTCCAAATGAATTCGTCACGAGGGACTAACTGACCTATCCTTATCTTCACCTATCCTCACTGGTGCCCCGCCGGCGTATACCCGTAGCGCAAAGCAGGGTTACTATCCTATTGTCATCATTATAAAATAATCTTGTCCTAAAGAATGGCAACGCTTCGATGCCCTCATCGCAGTGTATTCCGTGATGTGGACATCATGGTTTGTTCATGTATGTATCGACGGTCACTGCTTTCCATTAGGTGGACCGTCAGCTTGTTTGTCATTCTAACTCTAAAACTGATGACTTTTTTATGCAACTTAGAATGGCAAACAAGCTGACGGCTCATCTAATGGAAAGTGGTAACCGTCGCCTATAGACATGCGCAGTACCATGGACATAACAGAGTATACTGTTTCGCCCATGATACCTCCCCATACGTTGCCATTCCTGAGGAGATGTTGAAACATGTAGAAGCGTTGATATTTATTATTCTAATTAAACATGTTTATTTTTTTTCAGGTTTTGTCTATAGTGTTTTGTGAATAGTTCACTGAACGATACCTTTGTTTTGCCAGGCGGTGATCAACAGCACCATAACGGCAAATATGACGTTCACGAAAACGTCCCAGAAGTTCGGGCAGTGGAGCGACGTGCGGGCGAATACCGTGTACGGGCTCGGGTTTGCGTCCGAGGCGGAATTGGGCAAGGTAACTTGTTCTATGATACCTACTTGCATAGGGAACGTATGGGGAGTACCACTGGGTGTCATAATATAGACTTTTATGTCTGTGATGCTGTATTTTCATTGAGGACTAGCATCTTACCAGCTTTTTTTGTTCGCGGAATTCAGAAATAGAGGAATCGATGAAATCTAGATGTAGTATCAAGACATAACATGTACCAGTTTTTAAGTTCTGAAATACAATATTTCAAAAATCATCAGAATTCAGCTGTCGACTGCTGAAGATAAGCAATAAGGGGTGTTGTCAGTAGTTGCCATGCAGGCAATTTGGTTGTATTGCATGGCAGGCAGATAGGCAACCATAGTTAGGCTTTATAGATTTTTTTTATACAACTTAGAATGGCAAACAAGCTGACGACCCTACTGATGGAAAGTGGTAACCGTCGCCTATAGACATGAGCAATACCATGGACATAACAGAGTGTACTGTTTCACCCATGATACCGCCCATACTTTACCATTCCTGAGGACTTAGGTGTTATTCCTCTGTACCCTGTAAATTCACTGCCATATCTCACCCTTTAAACCGAAACACAACTGCTTCACGGTAGAAACACGAATGGGACAGAGGTGGCTAAGAAATCGACTTTTGTAGAAAGTCTCCCTCTGGTATTGTGTTTTTATAAAAAGTTATCCAGTATTATAAAATAGTAATAGATTTTATTTATTTTCTTCACAAATTTTACAGAAAAATACAGCCTCATGAAAAAAAATACAATTACATATATATGTATAAATACGATGCTCTGTGAAACCTGCGTGAGACTGGACCCTAAACTAGATCAGAGATCTGTATCTCAGGAGTCCAGGTTTTGTCGTCAGAAATGGTCGTTAGATAGAGTTATACACATTCCATTACAGTTTGATCCATAAAATGTCTTAATTTAGTTTACGGGTATGAGGCATGAATTCCGAAATAACAACACACGCCAAGCACTCCCAGTATGTTACGCGGCCCAAGCAAGATTGTACGTTGAATTATAGATTAATGTGTTAATTATTTAAGCCAGCAATCTATGTTAACTGATGCCTGCGTACCGGTACAGTCGGCAACAGACGAAGAAATGACGGTTTTGTAATGTTTTGTTTTGTATGTATTTTTTTTTAATGGGTGATAATGGTATGGCAACCCCGTCTGCGCTATTGGTATACACTGGCGGGGCACCAGTGAGGGATGACAGATGAAGATGAAAGTATGTCAGTTAGCCCATCCTGACGAATTAAACTAGAGTTAGTCACGATGGTTTCCAGGGGGAACCACGTGGAGGTCGACCTGGCTGGGTATATTGCTAATAATAGGGCTATTTGATCCCATTACTAACAATCCCTTTCCCCCCATTTTGTATGTATTATGTATGCGCAGACTTACGTACAGGGTGAAATCTAACTCTTTAAAATCTCATTATCTCGTCTCAGTCATTATCTGTCCACTGCTAAATATAGACTTCCTCCAAAAAATAACATAAAAAACGGTCCTGGACCATCTGCATCCACTGACTGCCTTTTTTTATACCACTGAGATGGCCAACAAGCATACGGTCTACGTGATGGTAAGTGGTTACCGTAGCCTATGAACGCCTGCAATAACGGAGGTATTACGCGCGAATAAAAAAATAATAATCTAACTTTTAAATGAAATCAACTATACAATCATAGCTGTTTGGGGGGAAGGGATTGTTAGTAATATACCCAACCAGGTCGACCTCCACGTGGTTCCCCCTGGAAACTATCATGGTTAATTCCTGATGACTTCATCATGATGGGCTAACTGGCCTGTTTTCATTTTCATCTATCACCCTTCACTGGTGCTCCGCCAGCGTATCCCATTAGCGCAGGCGGGGTTACCATATCATTTTTACCCATAAAAAAAATCATAGCTGTTTAATGATAAAAAATGTTTGGTACAATCCGTAAGGGGCTTTATGGTTTTTAATAAATCGGACGTCGTTAGGTACAGGTGTCGTTGGGCTCGGTTACTGCTATTGTACACTGCCATAAATCAACTCGGATGTAACTAAAAACAAATCTAAGGTCATGTGATACGACAGAATAAAATATGCTGTCAGAAACGTAAAGGAGGAAGACACCAGAGGGAGACTTTGTACAAAAGTCGATTGCTTGGGTACCTCTGTCCCATTCGTGTATCAACCGTGAAGCAGTTGTGTTTCGGTTTGAAGGGTGGGATATGGCGTGAATTTACTGGGTACAGAGGCCCTTGTGTTATACCTGAGTCCTCAGGAATGGCAACGCATGGGGGGTATCATTGGCGAAACAGTACACTCTGTTATGTCCATGGTACTGCTCATGTCTATAGGCGACGGTTACCACTTTCCATCAGTTGGGCCGTCAGCTTGTTTGCCATTCTAAGTTGTATAAAAAAAAAAGGAATATTTGACTTGATTTTTCACAGATAGATAGATACCCTTTATTGTTTCCTCCATAAGATTACAATAGTAAACTTATTATAGATACAAACAATTACAAGAAATAATCACAATGAGAAAACAATGGGCGGCCTTATCACTAAAAGCGATCTCTTCCAGGCAACCTTTGGATGGAGAGGAGTAGTTATAGGTAGTTTGACTCGAGGCACGATGAAAAATTATGTTATTTTTTAATTAAATATAAATATGGGTAAAAAGGGAAAGTATAAATATTAACTATAATTTTAATTTGTCAAGTAATATCTAATATATAAAATTCTCGTGTCGCGGTGTTTGTTACCAAACTCCTCCGAAACGGCTTGACCGATTTTTTTTAAATTTTGCGTGCATATTGGGTAGGTCTAAGAATCGGCCAACATCTATTTTTCATACCCGTCAATGATAAGGGTGACCCACCCCAAAATATTTTCTTTTTATTTTTTTGACAAATTTTTCCATTTTTATTTTATTATGATTTAGCATTGAAAAATACATACAACTTTAAATTTTCATCGTTTTACGATCAACCCCTGTATTTTAATTGCGATTTTTATATTTCGCAATAAGTGGTAAAACAACGTTTACGGGGTCAGCTAGTATATATATAAAAACAATATGATTACGGCTAAAATTTCTAATGGGGTAACCTCTACTCGGTAGTGGCATTTTTTTAATGGGTAATAATGGAATGGTAACCTCACCCGCGCTATCGATATACACCAGTGGCGGGCGGCGGGGCACCAGTGAAGGATGATAGGTGAGGATGAAGCAGGTCAGTTAGCCCATCGTGACGAATTCAACAAGAATTGTTTACGATGGTTTCCAGGGGGAAGCACGTGGAGGTCGACCTAATAGGGCATATTGCTAGCAATGGAGCTGTCAAACTCCATTGCTAACAAAGCCTTTCCCCCCAGTAGTGGCATTTGTGTGGTGAACGTAATACTCGACATACCCATATTTCGACGAGCATAATTAGAATCCCGCCTGATAGGGGACGAGCCTACCACTGTCACGCGGATTAATTTGATTTGCTAATTAATAATAATTAGGTAAATATTGCCGTGTGGTCCTGGCATAGAATAGGCCACCCCCTCCATTCTCGTGGGTGTCGTACGAGTCGACTAAAGGAGTGATTCTCCAAAGCCCAACTGCGGTTGCCAATCCGCCAGCCAATTGTGGCAAGTACTGGTAAAACTCCCCTTATGGGGAAGGCTTATGTTCAGCAGTAGACAGTTAACGGCTGAAATATCAATAATAAATTAGATGAATTATATTCCTCTGTGCTTGACTGTACAGTTTGATCGTGTTATTGTACACGTATGACAGAAGCGGCTTCGCGGCCCGAGTAATCCTGCTAATGTTATAATATATAAATGGGAAAGTTTGTTAAGATGTTTTAGTGTTTGTTTCTTAGTTACGTTTCAACGATTCAATGGGTTTGAATGAAATTTAATACACGGATAGGTCACCTAAATTAACACAGGAGACTTTGTACAAAAGTCGATTGCTTGGGTACCTCTGTTCCATTCGTGTTTCTACCGTGAAGCAGTTGAGTTTGCGTGGCTGTGTTTCGGTTTGAAGGGTGGGATGTGGCGTGAATTAACAGGGTACAGAGGAATAACACCTGAGTCCTCAGGAATGGTAATGCATGGGGGGTATCATGGGCGAAACAGTATACTCTGTTATGTGCATGGTACTGCTCATGTCTGTAGGCGACGGTTACCACTTTCCATCAGGTGGGCCGTCAGCTTGTTTGCCATTCTAAGTTGTATAAAAAAAATATAATTAGAGGTCTTATAATAATAAGAGCAACAGATTTGACATCTGTTGCTCTTATTAAGGTCTCTAATAATTATTAAAAATTATGTCTGTCTGTATATTTGTTTCGGAATCACACAAAAACTACTGCGCCAAATAAGATGTAATATTCACAGTTGTGTTCCTGAAAGTCTGACTTAAAACCTGATGTATATTATGTGATATAAAGTATAAAAGCTTCAAACCGAAACACAGGCATGCAAACACAGCTGTTTCACGGTTGAAACACGAATGGGATAGAGGTACCCAAGCAATCGACTTTTATACAAAGTCTCCTTCTGGTAGAGGGAGACTTTGGCATCATGATATCCTTCGGTGGCAGTTCATCGAGAAGTTCCAAGAGGTGAAGGAGGCGATCCAGGCGCAGCAGTGCGGCGGCGGCGGCGCCAAGGGCGTGGCCAACGGCAGCAGCGGCGCCGCCACGCCCGTCGCCAGCGCCACCGCCAGCCCGCTGCTCGCCGGCCGCGCCGCGCAGCACGACGACGCCGAGCCCGCCGTCTCGCCCGCACAGGTACTGCTTCCATCCAGGGAGGACACATTTCAAAGTGAGCCTACTCACCTGACTTCATCCTCACTGTAATGGGGATTAGTAGCCCCATTGCTAGCAATAAAGCCTGTCAGGTCGATCTCCTCGTGGTTGGCCCTGGAAACCATCATGATTGATTTATTGTTAGATTTGTCACGGTGGGCTAACTGACCTGCTTCATCCTCACCTATCATCCTTCACTGGTGCCCCGCCAGTGTATACCGATAGCGCAGGCGGGGTTACCATTATATCTATAAAAAAAGGCTTCATCCTCACCTATCATCTTTCACTGGTACCCTAACTGCGTTATCGATCGATACCGCAGGCAGGGTTACCATCCTATTCGTATCTTCACTCATTGAAAAAACATGGTTCCATTGCCAGCAATGTAGTAAACGGTTTACACAAAGTCTTTAGTCATCAATACCCTAAAAGTTTGAAGACGATGGTCTTTAACCAATGCGTGTAGCCAGTGATGACTTATGGAACCGAAACGTTAATAAATTTTTTATTATTTTAATTTATTTTTATTAATTATAAAATGTAAACAAGGTTGCACGTATGCAAAAGTTTTAAATTACTTAGCGGGATATGGATAGGGTTTTTTTTTATGTGTGAAAATGGAATGGTAACCCCGCTTGCGCTAACGGGATACGCAGACGGAGCACCAGTGAAGGGTGATAGATGAGAATGAAAACAGGCCAGTTAGCCCAACATGATGAATTCATCAGGAATTAACCGTGATAGTTTCCAGGGAGAACCGCGAGGAGGCCGACCTTGTTGGATAAATTGCTAGCAATGGGATTCTTAGTCTCCATTACTAACAATCTTGCCCCCCCCCCCCCCCTATGGATAGGGTTATGCTCGGAGTTTCTTTGCGTGATAGAATCCGAAATGAGGGTATCCGCAGAAGAACCAAAGTGACCGACATAGCTCGAAGGATAAGCAAGCTGAAGTGACAATGGGCTGGTCACAGCTCGAGGACCCGACAACCGATCGGGAAGAAAGGTTCTTGAGTGGCGACTCTGCACGGGAATACGCAGTGTAGGACGACCCTCCACTAGATGGAGTGACGACCTCAAATGCATTGCAAGGAGTCGGTCGATGCAGGTGGATCAAGATCTTTCCTTATTGCAGTTTATGGGGGAGACCTATGTCCAGCAGTGGACAGATAGATTCATGATGGTGAATGGAGGCTACCAGACCTATTGCTAGCGATATATTCTGTCAGGAAGTGTAATGTAGTGATTCCTTTCTCCTGGCACATATATGTTGAAATGTGACGAAACATCTAGGAGTGTAAAGTGCGATAGTACAAAATTGAGGGAGGGAGGAAGTAGGTCTTCACTGACTGATCATCATTAGATAGATTATTTTTTGATACTGCATAGTAGTGGAAAACAAACATACGGCTCGTCTGATGGTAAACAGTGTTGCTATTATGCACTTGTAGATTTTAAAATCTCATAATTGCATCAGTGTCAGGACGGCGAGAGATGGGCACCAGCGTCCCTTTTAAAACATCTCTTAAGCTTGACTGCGATTGCCAATTCGCCTGTCAAGCGTAGCAACTACTGGCAAAATTCCCAAAGTGGGAGGCTTATGTTCAGCAGTAATAAAGATGATGATGATTGCTAATGGAGTAGCTCCTATGATGATGCGTATACTGACAGTGTCCCTATGTTTCAGCCGAAAGTTGACAATGACGAGATGATGGTGCACCAGAGGGCGCACTCGGTATCATCGACGCTGCAGGTTAGTGCTGCTTTTTTATATATTTTTATATAATTTAAAGTGGTAGACAAGCTGATGGTTTATCGTATGGAAAATAGGCAATGGTTGCAGTTACAACAGACTTCACTGTGATAACACAACCTTTATTTTCTTAAAAAATAAATAAATTAATCACCACGTTCTTTTGGGAATCGCTTAAAAAAATTAATAATGTATGACACTAGCTGACCTGGTAAACTATCGCCATCTACTGGATTATATTTTTTTATCGGTTACAATTATCCTATTTCTAAACCCTTCATTGCATACTGGTGGAAATTTCTATCATAACATTGAATGTTTAAAAATTATATAAAAGAACAATTTCAGTTTAAGTTGATCGTGTCTGGATGCCTTTTTAATGTTCATTGCAGAATAAAAACCATAGCTGTCAAATTTATTTTTTAACCATTTTTCCTTTAATTATGAGCGTGAATTATATCACCTTAATTTATTTTATCAATAAAAAAAAAATCATACAAAGAAGGGTTAAGTTTAGAGATTAGCTTGAACGAACATCGTGATAGTTTCTTTTATTTTAGTTCTTTTTAATTGGTTGTAAGATGGAATAGTTTATGGATGATAGGTTTTTACCTATTTAATTGAAGGTATGTCGGTAGTCTCAGTGTGGTGAATTCATCAAGAATTAACCACGATGGTTTATAGTGGAGAGATAGAGTGGAGGTTGGCTTGGTAAGGGTAGTGTATTGCTGGAAATGAGACTTAGATTCGTTACTAATAATCCTTTTGTACCTATAGTAGGTTATTTGTAAATTAATCATAATAGACTTCAAAGGGAGACTGTACAAAAGTCGATTGCTTGGATACCTCTGTCTCATTCGTGTTTCAACCGTGAAGCAGTTGGGTTTTGCATGGCTGTGTTTCGGTTTGAAGGGTGGGATATGGCGTGAATTTACAGGGTACAGAAAAATAACACCTGAGTCCTAAGCAATGGCAACGCATGGGGGGTATCATTGGTGAAACAGTATACTTTGTTACGTCCACGGCACTGCTCATGTCTATAGGCGACGGTTACCACTTTCCATCAGGTGGGCCGTCAGCTTGTTTGCCATTCTAAGTTGTATAAAACAAAAACACTTCAGAGAGAATTGCATTTAATTTGACCTGATAGGGTATATGTCTGCGATAGGGTTGCTGTTCCCTCGTTACCAGTAATCCTTTTGTGGCATGTCAGGGCGGGTATGCGACGGTGGGCCGCGCTCCCCGCAGCCAGCTGGCGTCGGTGGCCAGCGAGCGCGGCGCGGGTTCCGCGGCCGGCGCGCCGCCGCCGAGTGTGGCCGGCGTGACCGGCGCGACCGGCGCGGCCGCGGGGGGCAACGACCCCGCGCCGCCCGACGGGCCCGACCATCAGCTGCGCTACGAGAACGACCGGCTAAAGCTCGCGCTCGCGCAGAGGTACGTGCAAAGAAACAAACCAACTATTCTACAGAAATCGTCACAGTCGTAGAATACTGACGGATCTTTATATGTAATCTTTGTCAGATCCGTCTGTATTCTACGACTATGACGATATATGCGACTACCCTCACACAGTGGTTAAAAATGTTTATTAATAATTATAATAACGAAACTACACACGAAATATTTATATATAAATAAATAGGTCTCGTTAGCTCTGATTATTAAAAAAAGAGAAGATTTTTTATCGATCTAAAAAAGTTCCAGATCAACGAGATTTCAGTTAAATTTTTACAAAACATTGAAGTGATATAACTATTAATATTTAAAATACATAAACAAATATACATTAATACAACATAGTACTTTTCTTGATTTAAAATTAATAAATTTTCTATGTACAACGCCATCTAGCAATGGCATAAGTACAATATTTTTGTCATAATGTCGTACTAGATGGCGTTGTAAACAATAATCGTAACACGACAACAAGACATTCAAATTTCAATAAACGTCAGAAATCTAAACGAAATTATTATTTTTTCGCGAATAATGGGAGACTATCAAAAATATATGGTAAAAAATGTACACATGTAATGTAAACGCCATGTACACATATTTGTACTAATGAATAAATAAATAAATAAATAAATAAAAAATGTATATATTCTTCTAGATATGGTCTCTCACTATAAGAAAAAAAAAAGTATGTGGTTTTATTTTGAGTCTTCATTGTCTCGCATTATTTGTATCAATATTTGCTTTGTTGCCAATCAATTGTACTTACTTTCTATGGTTTGTTTTATATTTTATATTTTAATGCACCATTGCTTTCCACATAATAAGATTATGATGTTGTTTGGGTATTATTATCAACATCACTCTTAGTTAATTTTAAACTTTCGCGTTGCTTACACATATTTTAAATTCACGTACGAGACAACGCGATAAGGTTAAATATCATCATTCTTTTTATTAGCAGAATATCTATGGTTGTTCTTTTTTTTATATTTTATTCTACAAAAATTATATCGATATAAATTATTTCAAACAAAGATCTATAATAGGGGAGCTTAACTCTGTAAGAGTTGTTTTCCAGCAGCCCAGTAACAGGAGCATTAAAGTGGTCATTAAACAGAATTGGACAAGAAATACTAGATGGCGTTGGAATCGATACTTGTAGTTTTTGTTGATTATTTTATAATTAAAGATAGTTTTAAGTACAATTTCCAAATTGGCGAGTGGTTTTTATTGTTATATACGAATGTAAAGTAACGAATAGGACTCGATCTTTTCTTGAATGAATTATAATCCACATAATTGCATGTTTACAAACGAATGTTTTTGCATTTTTTGCACAATACAAGGGAATAAAAACAAAAATTAGGATAAATTATTACTATTTCAGTAGAAAATAAATTAAACCACTCGCCAATTAAGGAATTTTGCCTCATATTATTTTGAAATACAAAATAATCATCAAAAACTACAAGTCTCGATTCTACCGCCATCTAGTACTTCATATCCAATTTTATTTATTTACCAATCACTTTAATTGCCAGCTACCTGAGAATAAATAAAATTATATGATATTTATATTTTTACCATGGTAACATACACGTTATCATATTTTATCGAAATATATTGCATTGTATTAAATTGTTCGAGAACAAGTATAACAACATAAAGTACTAATAATAATACTTCGTTGGTTTCTCTAGTGGCGGTCGAACGCGGCTCCGACCGCATACGGGTTTACTTTCTAAGGTTTCTGGAAGTTTGCGAGTTTATCGAAATCATATAATGGAGAACTTTGTACGTATTTGAATTGGTTTAAAGTGCGTAGGTATTATAATTAAATGTGGGCAGCGAAATTGTTAACAAACGGGTTCTGGCAGCCTTTTTTTAATCTTTTGCTGTACTAGGTGTTATATATAATGTTATATTTGTTTTTGGGTACCTCTGTCCCATTCGTGTTTCAACCTTGTAGCACTTGTGTTTGCACAACTGTGTTTCAGTTTAAAGGGTGGAATATGGCAGTGAATTTACAGGATACAGAGGAATAACACCTGTGTCCTCAGGAATGGCAACGCACGGGCGGCTTAGTCGCCTCTTACGACACTCGCGGTAAGGGAAGGGGTGGTCCAATCTATGCCGGGACCACACGGGACATTGAAATAATACAATGTGTATAACAAATAAAAGATTTATTCAATCGCAAGGTATTTTCTATAACACTTAATACTATAAACTCATAAACAAAGCAGTAACATGATCAACAGCGCAGTCTTAACATTTGAGGCGATACATACATACGCACACAATAAATAGTAAAAATGTATATATAGTACTTAATGACAGACAGACGAAGTTTACTCCCTCCCAAAAAAAAAAATATCGGCGTCTCAACATGACTAAATCAATATGGGGCGTACATGCTAGTGAGTTTTGGATTGTATTGTAAAATCTCTATTGTACATACATCGTCATAGTCGTAGAATACTGACGGATCTTTGTATGTAATCTTTGTCAGATCCGTCTGTATTCTACGACTATGACGATATTACATTGACTTACACGGACTTATTCCATAGAGAGATCTCTTACAGTCAACCTTTGAGATGGTGAATCTAAAATGTAGAACGTTCAAAGATAAAAACTACAGCTAAAGGTAACTTCAATAATACCTAGTTAAAATTTTACATGTGATACAATAAAAAGTAACTTTATTTTTATTTTCATTGTAAAAAAAAAAATATATTATAAATGTGAAAGTCTGTTACCTCTTAGCGTCTTAACTGCTGAACCAGTCACTATGAAATTTGGTATATACGTACTAAATGGGTTGGAAAAGGACATAAGGCTATTATTTATCTCTGTCAATCAACATATCTATTAGTTCTCCTTTAACCAAAGACTGTCTGTAAGAGATTGCCCTAGCGATAAGACCGCCTTTTGTACCTTTATGTATATATTTTGATCTGTACTTTATGCTACTGTATTTCACTTGAATTGTTTATATATCATTGTATATTTTTATGTCTCTGGTGCAATAAAGAGTTAAATAAATAAATAAAATAAATAAATCGAGAATAAAGAAACTTCAAGTCTGACAATGTATTTATGAAAACGATCGTATAAAAATATATTTTCAAACGAAAATGACTCTGCTGTGTTGAGTATTGTTGTTGAGTATGTAATTAATACATGCATACGAAAAATATGAAATAAGTAAAGGTTTGCTCGAATTAAAATTTACGGTTCCGTATTCAGTTAAGAGCAGTTTTTAATATTAAACAATTGTTTCTGCTAAATGGGTCGTAAAACGAGTCATTTCTTTTTTTAAATACGCCGTTAAATTTTTATAAATATCGTAAATTAAACTGTTTTAAATTATTCGACGAGTTTATAAGTGTTTCCATCTTGATTTAATATATATTTTTTTCTATTTTATTTTTCTTTTTAATTTAAGCAAGTAAACTGCCCAAAATGTCATATGCCAAATATATAAACCACTGGGGGGGAAAGGGATTGTTAGTAACGGAGACTGAGGATCCCATTGCTAACAATATACCCGACCAGGTCGACCTCCTCGCGGTTCCCCCTGGAAACTATCATGGTTAATTCTTGATGAAATCATCATGATGGGCTAACTGGCCTGTTTTCATTCTCATCTATTAACCTTCACTGGTGCTCCGTCAGTGTATCCCGTTAGCGCAGGCGGGGTTACCATGTCATTTTCATCCATCAAATAAAAAAAAAACCACTATAAAATATTAAGCATACATCGCGTGACTTGAATCCTACTGAAATATAGTTTCACTCGACTCGTAAATGTCGCCCCATCATAAAAATGTCACATCTGCAAAATATTTATGTATTATTGCATTGCAAAATTCTGATATCGTAACTAGAGTGAGTACTTACGGTGAAATAGACTGAAAATAATAATGATCGCCCACTAGTTACCCCAAAAAATGCGAGGTAAAAATAATAACTAGGAAAAAAAAAACAAGCGAGATCGATTCCACAAGATATAACCTATTTAGTGTTATTTCTAAGCGAAAGTAAACTAATAATAATTAATTATTACTTATGACTTTATAACGGAACAAATTAATAAGAAATGTCAAGTGTTTATCAATAGCCAGCCATGGGAGTGATAAATACGGCTGAAGATTTACTTTTAATATTGAGGTAACTTGTGTCAAATTTATATTCTTACACCCAGTTTTATGAGGTTCAAGTGCTAGGATCAGAAATGGTCGTTTCTTTTGTATAAACATCAAATTTGTACTTGCAAAAAATAAAAGACTTTATTTCCTAAAATGAAAGTAGAGTATGTATTTTGGGAATATTTTTGTTAAAAACATTAATGTTTTTACAGATTTTTTGTGACTCTACTAAATTATTTTTTTTAATCTACTATCCAATTGAACAAGCAGTTACAGTCAAGAACAAGGTTACAAGCAAGAGACTTGACTGTTGCTTTTTACAAACAAAAGTTGGATTTACAGATTCGAATATAAAATTAAACCAAATATAGATTAATCGTGGTTCCACTGGATTAAACTAGTAAACCTATTCATTTGTGGCTTGACACAAGTTACCTCCGAGGTACATTATTGTATAATTTATAATACTTATAAAAAAATGTAATAAATTACTTCACTGTATATGTTCCATTTGTCCGCATTCTATGATTTGTTCACTCAAATATAGCTTTAGTTTGTCGGTTTCCTATACTCTATAATAGGTAGTTGCAGAACTAGTGTTCAAAACCTCCGCTAATAGGAACAAACCCGTCGTCAGCTTGGAAGTCTTGATGGTACTGCACTGGTCCGTACTTGTGCAAAGGTACCTTATACTCTTCATGGACTGGTATGGGCGCTTTGTATTCCTCGTGTTCATGGTGCTCCTTAGGGGTGCCGATCTTGTGGACAACGGCGTTGAAGCCGTTTTTGTCATCCGCTTCGTATTCCACTACACGTTTCGTTCCATCTGTTTCCAGGAGGGTGTAAGTGCCTGGGGAATGGTTGTTGAAATTAGTTGCAAAGTTGACGAATGGGCAATAAGCAAACTGAAATCGCAAAGGGCTGGTCATATAGCTCGAACAATCAACAGTTGATAGGGAATTAAGGTTCTCGAGTAACACTGTAAGGGCAGAAGTTGTTTAAGACGATCCCCCACTAGATGGAGTGATGATCTTAAATGCATTGCAAAGAGTCAGTGGATGCAGGTGCTTCAAGACTTTTTTGGTTATGGCAGTCTATGGGGAAGGCCTATGATTAGCATTGGACACATAACCGAGCGAGAGCATTCCACAAAAGACTGCTATGTGGCCGTTTTGATGAGGTCAGTCCATCGCTTTTGATGACCCCGAGAACGTTTGCTTTGTGCCGACCCTTGGACAATTACACGTGCCATACAATTTTCATTCCGGATGGCCGAAGTACTATATAAAATGCACAATATAATTGCCGCAATAAGAGGAGACTCTTATAAAGAAGAGCAAAGAGATGTCCATAATCAAAGTACATTAACTCGGTGCAGTCTACTTCTCTGATACGGGGGAATCTGATTTCCGTTTACACAGACAGACATTGCTAGAAAACTTAAGAAATATATTCCGTTACTCGATTATTTAACGAAGATTTAGGTACGAAGATATTTACCTTTCACCTTATCTCCATCCCTGGTTTCCCAATGTTCCTTGTCGTCTCCCGTATGTGGATCCTTTACGGAATAGTCGAAAGAGTATTTAGGATGCGACTGGAATGAGAACAAAATTTAATCTTAGCAGTTATTGATTATAGATTTATTTATATATTTTATATATATAAGATTATTATTAGATATATTTTACCAGAGGGAGACTTTGTACAAAAGTCATTTGCTTGGCCACCTCTGTCCACGGTAGAAACCGTGAAGCAGTTGTGTTTGCATGGCTGTGTTTCGGTTTGAAGGGTGGGATATGGCAGTGAATTTACAGAGTACAGAGGAATAATAACACCTGAGTCCTCAGGAATGGTAACTCATGGAAGGTATCATGGGCGAAACAACATACTCTGTTATGTCCACGGTATTGCTCGTGTCTATAGGCGACGGTTACCACTTTCCATCAAGTGGACTGTCAGCTTGTTTGTCATTTTAAGTTACATAAAAAAAAATGTTATTTATTTATATTTACCAACTAAGAGAGTTTGACAGTTTCCTAATTCGCTCCCTTAGCAATCACAATATATACAAATATATTAACATTTAATTATTGGATACTCTTTAAAGAATTTATTGCCATTCTGCTAAATTCGACAAGTTTACATGTCAATATATCCAAGTCCAGATACTGGCTTGTGACACCGTTGAGCAGAGCTAATGGAAGAGGAGCCGGTTTCCAGCTCTATTCTTTTTAACGGAACATGGAAACAGTTCCTTCAACGTGCTCGAGCATAATTAGAAGGCGCTCGAATGAATATCGGTGTCAGGATACTCTGATTATATTTATACCTTTTGATCACTTTTAAAATTTTTTTTTTTATACCACTGTGGTGGCAAACAAGCATATGGCCCACCTGATGGTAAGCAGTTACCGTAGCCTATGAACGCCTGCAATACGTATTATTACGTGTGCGTTGCCGACTCTGAAGACACCTCTTTACCCCCCTTTAGAAGAACCCCATGCTGTAGGTTACCTCGGCATAAAAATAAAGTTGTTATAATTTATTAAGGCTAATTAGTTATAGTTAATTGTTATATGAATTTAAAAAAAATAACGAAGAAGTTCCAAACGTTTTCATATAAAACTTACATGGTAGTCCAAATCGTACTCGTCATGGTGTCCGTCCAAGCTCTGATGCTGTTGGTGGAGTACTGGTTTGTGTGCGTGGTACCCCTCGAAGCCGTGGCTCTCGATTCCGCCCAACTCCTCGTACTGGCCGAGAGCTGCCACCACCAGAACCGCCAGGGGTAGAACTTTCTGGAATTATAGGAAATATTTAATGTGAAATACTTTGCATGTCAGCGTGGCCGTAGCTGGGGAAGGGGGGGGGGGATTGAGGGGCAATGTCTTTCTTTAAAATGAAAGACCTCAAGAAAGCTTGTTAGATTCACTTTTTCGGAGTCGTTTAATTATGGCTTCTGTCCTACCAAAAAGTTGTTTTGGTCTACTTTAGAGTCTAACTACGGCCCTGCCTCTTAAGTACTATATTTACCTAACTTATAGTGGATAAATGTCTCTGATTACCTCATTAGAAATTATACTTGTAGGTCGTTGTCGTATTTGTTTTTATTAATCCTTAACAATCCGGCCCGACTTTACACGGGTAAAGAGAATTTTCGAAAATAAAAACCTATGTCACTCGCTGTTAACGTAGCTTTGTAGGGGTGAAAGAATTTTTAAAATCACTTGAGTAGTTTTAATGTTTAATCATTACAAACAATAAAATTTTTCTTTTTTATAATATTAGTATAGATTATATGTTTGTCTTTTCTCATTATTTAAGGTCGATGCAGTACATTTTTACTTTTCATTCTGGTCTTCATTCTGTCATCTCTCTTAATACGTCGTAAATATTCATAACTTCTTACACACAGTCCAATTGTTTGTAGGCTTCTCTTTTCTTAGTGGATGTTTATCCACTTTTAAATTTATCATTCTTTTACTGACATAATCGTCATTTCTTTACCCTTTTTATTCTACTCATTACCTATCAAAACCAAGTTATCCTCTGTTTCCCCATTTACTTATAATGCTTTCGGAATTCCTCGTTTATGCTTATTTATTTACTCTCGTTACCCCAACATTTTCTTTTCATTTAAGAGTTTCCTCTTGTCGGTGCAACTAATTCATGCGTCTTCTTCCAGCCAGCTCTATTCCATGCCATATCCTTGACCTCGCTATACGACACGACACCTAGTGTTTTTTTATCTGTCCAATGTAGTTATTCCTCGGTTTTCTTCTTCCTCTTTTTCCCTCTGTTTTTCCTTACCCCAACATACGTTACCCATAAATAGTAGCATTCTCATTTTCACCGAATGCAGTTTTTTAATTTTTTTTTTTTACTATTCATTCCAATTTTTAACGTAACAAATCTTAATATATATCTTGTATATTTTCCCTTTCAATTGGAGAGGTACTTACGATTATTATACCACTTATAATAATACCTGCATTGACGTTAATTGGAGACTTAAACACGGTCGTAGGAAATGTATGAGATAACAACGTCACGTGCGCACGCGCCGCGGTATGATAGTGAAAGCGTGTGTCTTTACGTCGCACGGCTGGGATGGCGCGAACCATGTGGAAATACGGAAATATATAATCTTAATTAGATGGCATTAAAAGATACATGCTCACGACTATAATCCTTGATAAAGTGGTCAGAGTTGGGAGAAGGTATTGTTAGCAATGGGGAGGTTAGACCCCATTGCTAACAATAAACCCTATCAGGTTGATCTCTACGCGGTTTCCCCTGGAAACCATAGTGACTAATTTATCGTTTGATTCGTCACGGTGGGCTAACTGACTTGCTTTATCATCCTCTCCTATCATCTCTCATTGGTGCTCCGCCAGTGTATACCGTTAGCGCAGACGGGGTTATCATTCCATTATCATCCATTAAAAAAAAATGTGGTCAGAGCTAGATTTTCGATATATATATATATATATATATATATATATATATATATATATATATATATATATATATATATATATATATATATATATATATATAAATTCAATGTACAAGACCTACAATGATATACATACATATCTGTCAGACCTCTTTTCCGTTAGAGTAGTTTTTTTACTATTTTAAAGTGTAATAAAAAAATATCAAACGATTCCGGTATATCTTTATTTTAATCCGCTGTGTATACTTTCGCGTTTTATAACATTATTTTTATGACCATAAAATACATAGTTACGTCATTTTTCTTTCCGGAGCCAAAAACTTTCTGCCTCTGCATAATTCCGCGTTCTAAACTCAAATATTCGAAATTTATTGTGTCTATGGAACATTTTATTATCGATCAGGGGGCCTACCATGAAATGAAATTCCGAAGTTTCGGAGTCAATTTCGTGTTTTCTTTCATACCTAATGCGGCCCAGTAAATGGAGTTTAACATTTCGTTCGTCACAAATCCTACCATAAAAGTCTAAAGGAATAATATTTTTAATGTTTTTAAACGGTACGTATTATGTAATTTTAACATCAAATTTGTGTTTCGTTCGGCTCCGAAATATCGGAAAACATTTCATGGTAGGCCCTCATTGTTTTTGGAGCAAAATTCACTTGTTAATTATAGTCGTCGAACGAAACACCAATTAAGCACGTTTGCCCAAGTAAAAGCGTCTAAGTCACAGTTTATGTAACAGTACACCTTGTTCAAGTTACATCAATAAGTAATTTCGCGTGGCTCCGTGAACTTTCGCCCAAGTTTGTCTACAGTAATGGGGACGGTCTTCACGCAAGTCACCCACTCTAATTGTCGCCATGTCACGTGACGCGGTACGCTCAAATGTTTTATTTGTCCGCTATCGCACTTGCTTCAGCTATGTTCAATTGCTGAACGTTAGTCTTTTATGTCTATTGGTTACACTTTCCATCAGGTGGGTTGTCAGCTTGTTTGACATTTTTTTATACCACTTAGGTGGCAATCAAGCATACGGCCCACCTGATGGTAAGTAATTACCGTAGCCTATGAACGCCTGTAATAACAGAGGTATTACGCGCGCGTTGCCGACCCTGAAGGAACCTCTTTACCCCCCTTTTGAAGAACCCCATGCTTTAGTCTTTTGGGAAGACCTCGGTAGGGAGCTCTGTTTATGGAACTATAGGGTCATCATATCAGCCGTTTATTGTCCACTGTTGGACATAGGCCTCTAATAGACTGCCATAAGGAACAGTCCCGAATCACCTGCATCCATTGTACTGAAAAATAAGGGGTACGGAGGCATAATTATTCTTAGAGATTATAACGCATGAGAAGTACCATGAGTGTCACAGTATATTCTGTGATGTCCATGACTTGTTAGTAATTCTAAAAAAAATGTTGTTATATAAATCGAAACACCGGCCACCGGTTCCGGTATAGTGTGGTAAAGGCGACTAAAGGAAGGCGAGGGATGGGCAGCAACGTCCCTCTTAAAACGCTAAGGCTTAACTGCAATTGCCAATCCGCGTACCAAGTGTGGCAACTACTGGCAAAACCTCCCAAGGGGGAGGCTTATGTTCAGCAGTGAACAGTTAAAGGCTGATATGATGATAAACCGAAATAGTCATAAATTAGCAGCTATTTGGAGGCAGGAACATGAGTGGGACAGAAGTACCCAAGTAGACGATATTTGTGCGATGCCAATAGTGACGGTTACTATATCCCATTAGGATTGTTTGCTATTCCAAATTGCATAAAATAATGCAAATTTAATAAACCACTGTTGTTTTATATATTTTACTTTTTTTTTGTTTTTTCATTCTTTTATCTCTTTTACTGTGTATTATGTGTATGTTTATATTGTAATTTGTGTATTGTAAGTAATGCAAATAAATTATCAATCACTGGGTTATTGTGATCGCATAAGGACTGCCACGAGCGTCACAATGTAATCTGTGTTCTCCACGATGCTATACATGTACATAGGTGATGGTTGCCATTTTCCATCAAGTAGGCCGTTAGCTTATTTGGTGTTAGATATTTAGATAGATAGATAATTTATTTGCATTACTTACAGCACACAACAATACAAACATATATATATTCTTTATTGCACTTGTAAGTTACATATAAAATAATCTATTCATAAATGTTGTGAGCAAGGGTGGACTTATCTCTGACAGAGATCTCTTCCAGTCAACCCAGTACAGTAAGAAAGCATTTCGTTAGCGGACAGCTGAAGTGCTACAACTATTAATACATAAACAAATATACAGTTAAATAAAATATTAAAATATATAATAAAATATTACATAAATACATACACTATAAATATATACAATACCTACCTACTTATATAGTATATGTTAAAATAAATTAATATACTACATACATTAGAAATTTCGTTTAATGATTTTAAGATTTGAGAGTTCAATTAGAAAAATACAAAAAAAAAAAATATATTACTCAAGGGAAAGAAAATGTGATTTTAACCTCTTCTTGAAAGAGGTAATAGAGGGACTCTCTTGTATTTGGGAAGGGAGTTTGTTCCATAACTGGACAGCTCGATACGAGAAAGAGTTGCCCATAAAGTGTGTCCTACACACAGGAAGTTCAAGCATCCTGGATTGCAGTTGACAGGAGCGTTTAGGACGGACTGGTGGTGGTAATAATTTAAACCGGGAGCGGAGGTACGATGGAGAATTGGGGTTATTGAGTATGTTATAAAGGAAAGAAAGGATGTGCATATCACGTCGAAGTCGGATAGGGAGCCACTTTAACTGGTTGCGAAAGGCAGACACGTGATCGTATTTACGAAGACCAAAGATGAACCTAATAGCTAGGTTTTGTAAACGTTCCAGCTTGTTTAGAAGCTCCTCAGTCACATCCAAAAAACAGACGTCGGCATAGTCAAGTATTGGGAGTAGTAGAGATTGTGCGAGCATAATTTTTGTGTTTACCGGGAGAAAGTATTGGAGTCGCTTGAGAGAGTGAAATGAAAAGTACATACATACACAGTAAAAGAGATAAAAGAATGTATACTGAGAGTATCTTAAAAAAAAATCTTTAAAAATTTTCATATCGATTGAATAACATTTTTTACAAATCTATTTTTTTTAACGCGCCACCTACCTATTTATGCTTTAATTACTTCTACCCAAAGATTGTCTGGAAGAGTTTTCTTAGCAATAAGACCGCCTTTTGTACTACACTATACGTATTGAAAATTGTTTAACAAATCATGTTATAATAGTACAATAAAGTGTTAAATAAATAAAAAACCAGGCAGTTGCATGCCAAATTATGTAGATTGCT